AATTTCTTCTTTTCTCTCTCTTTCTAATATGTAGAAAGTGACTTGGTCAAGGGTTTTAGGTGAGGGAAGAACGGAAACTTTGAATGGTGGTTAAATGTTTGAATTCCCAATTATGTCATAGACCCTTGACTTTGAAGATTCCTCATGTGGTTGTTTTTTTCTTTCTTTTTGGGTTGTTTGAAAAATTCAAGTTAAAATTTGATCTTTTTGCGTCAAGACTCAATTTTTATATGTTCCCTTCTAAATTTTTGAATTTATTTTATTGAATTTCGGAATTTTAAGCAGAGTTTGTTGTGTTTGAATAGTCAAAGACTCATAGTTGGTGTTTTGTAATGGGATTTCCAGGAACAATCCCCCAATCTTTCTGATTGGAGTTGTAGAAGTGTAGTTTGTTGCTTTCAAATGTTAGGGGAAGGGGAAAAGATTGGTCATCGGTTGGGAACCGGAAAACTTTTTCGCGGTCAGTATCCTGGACTGGCCGGTCACCCTCACATTCTAGTTCCAAATCACAATGGAACAGCAAGGCTCGAGCTTGTTTGCCTCCCCTTCAGCCTCTCTCTATTTCTAGACCGAACGTTGAGGAGTGGCCAAAGCCTGGTTCAGATGATCTTGGCATATGGAATAGTCCTCCTACTCCTGGTGTTAGACCTGGATCAATCACTCCCCGCGAAAACTCATATTCGGGGCAGCCTCCAAAAGAATTTGAGTTCAAGAAAGACAAGCTTGCATATTTCAACAAGGAGTGTTCAAGGATTGTAGATTATGTATATCTAGGAAGCGACACGGTGGCAAAGGATCGTGAAGTTCTCCGTCAGAATGGGATTACTCATGTGCTGAATTGTGTTGGATTTCTTTGCCCAGAGTATTTCAAAAATGATCTGGTATACAAGACATTATGGCTACAGGACAGCCCATCTGAGGATATAACAAGTATCCTTTATGATGTATTTGATTACTTTGAAGATGTTCGAGAACAAGGTGGCCGAGTCTTTGTCCATTGTTGCCAGGGGGTTTCCCGATCTACCTCTTTGGTCATTGCTTATCTTATGTGGAAAGAGGGGCACAGTTTTGAAGAAGCATTCCAGCATGTTAAGGCTGCGCGAGGAGTTACAAACCCCAATATGGGATTTGCTTGCCAACTTTTGCAATGCCAAAAAAGGGTACATGCTATGCCTGCAAGCCCAAGTTCATTGCTAAGGATGTACCGGATGGCGCCTCACTCACCATATGATCCCCTTCATCTGGTAGCCAAATTGTTAAGTGAGCCAGGAGCAAAAGGGCTTGATTCTCGTGGAGCATTCATTGTTCATGTCCCTTTAGCTTTATATGTATGGATTGGAAAGCACTGTGTGTTGGTGATGTCTGATGCAGCCAGGGCAGCTGCCGATCAGGTTATCCATTATGAAAGAGCAAGGGGTCCAATTTTAATTATCAAAGAAGATGAGGAGCCATCTGAATTCTGGGATGCTCTTGGGAAGGAGAGAGAAGCTGAAACTGTGGAAGCCTTGTCCGACGGGAACTCCATTTTGTGGCTCCAATTCGTCCACATATTACTGGGCGCGCTGTTCAAGAATATAATTTAGATTTTGAAATTTTTCACAAAGCACTTGCTGGTGGAGTGGTGCCTGCTTTTCCTTTGTCAGGGAATGGATCTGAGACCCATCTTCCTGCTCGTGTAAACGGCTGGAGCAGATTGAGAAAGAAATTTGCCAGTGGATTTATGAAAGAACTTATCACATCATCCAAATTAAATGGTGACGCGCCCAAACAAACCAAGGATGTGGTGATGTTGAGACTTTGGAAGAAGTTGAACACGTCCTCTCACCTACAGATCCTTCGTCTCCTTCAAGTTATCAATGTGATTCACCAGATTCTTTTGCTTCTTATGCAACAAACAGCCCAAGTTGGATAAAGGATTCTTGTACAGAAGTGAATTACGCAACTCCTCTAACTGATCCTTCACTATCTCGAACCCCTTCCTTCAGTTCCTTGGATTCTTTTCCTAGTCCTCATGTTAGTCGACCAAAGTCCGATACTACATCACCCTTGCTCTCACCTTCAACTTCTGACTACTCCAGTTCTTTTACCTTCTCACCCTCATCTTCTAACTGGTCTGATCTGTCCTATCTGTCTACTCAGCCATCACCTTCAGTATCGGAATCCAAAGATTTAAATTCTGGTAAAAATGCACACTTGGAGGAAGGTGCACCTCTACTCTGTGAAGGAACTTCTCCACAGAAGATAATTCTTCTTCTGCTCATGCTTGGCAGATGGCGAACACTTGTTCTCCATGTAGAGGGAGTCCCTTTCTTTAGCAGAGCGAAGAGGCAACAATCCTCCTCCTCGGATGATGTTACCTTCCGTCGATGAAACATCCCAAGTTCCAGTCAACTTGATGAGATCGTGGTCATTTGCTCTTCCTGACCTTGAAGATGAAATGATGAATGATGTCGATTTTAACAAACACTCTCAAGAAAGTTCTTTGGAAATGAATACTGAAGAGTTAGTATTGGACAGTGATACTTTCATGACAGACAATGAAATTTCTGATGCAGTCAAAGATGAACATTTTGTGACTTGTCGTCTTCCACCTGATGCTGTACAAGATACTGCTACTGAAGTAACTAACTTAGTTCTTTATCAGTGGCCTTCTATGCATGAAGTGGAAATGCATTATGGCATCCTTGATTCGAGATCTGTGTATATCATGTTTGTTCAAGACACGAATTTGGGCACCCAAGATGATTATGTTTTGTACGTGTGGGTAGGGCGTGAAGCATCACAGAAGGGAGGGAAAACTAGGAAGAATAGCACATTTGAGGATGGATGCATCAAGTGGGAGACAATTGGGCGTGATTTTCTTATTCAGAAGGGTTTAGCTACAAGCTCTGTTGTTCAGGTATCCATTCACCTTTGTGCTTCAACTGACATGTCTGTGAGAATCATTTTTAATCTTTTCCAAATATACTGACTTAACTATGAAGTGCAGTAGCTTGTATAAATAGGGTTGTATTGCTAAAGTACACAGTGATTGTTAAATTGACATATCTGTGAAAAATTCAATGACCTTCTATATGGTATTCATTCTTTCTAGAAAAGATTCCCATTAGGGTAACTTTGTGTTTGGCTTTTCATGAGTGGATATAGATGAGAATGCAAACGAGAAGTTCCACCATATTACCAGCCCAGTTTCCTGTGGAAGCAACTATTACTTATTAGTTTATCAAGTCTAGTAATTTAGCGTGTATTCTGATAATCCAAAAGTTGTATCCTGATGTAACCTTTGGTAAAAATTACAGAAATCATAGGATGCTAAAAGAAGTATATTCTTTTTATATGGTTGCTTCTTAAATGATAGAAAATTAATTGCTTTAATTTGGTGAGCATAGCTGGATCAACTGATTTTGAATCTATATTCATTTTATCGTCCTTTCTACATTCAGAGGCAGAAAATTGGCAATTTTAGTTGGTGGAGACCATTGCTTTTTAATCTATCATTTTTTTTTTGGGTTTGCAAGGAGGGTGCAAATTGTTATCTACCTGGAACTTGATTTGATTTTTAGTTGGAAATTGTAGTGCTTTCATGGAATTTGGAGGACTCTTTACACTTGTTTTCAAGTTTAGTTGGAAATTTGGATTTAATTTGCCTCGTAGCTTAGTCATTGACAATCATCTGTTCAGCTTCTTTGTTCTATCTTGTTGTTACTCTTGAATGGATGAACTAATTGAAGTTCTACTGATTGCAGATAGTCAAAGAAGGTGAGGAACCAGAGCTGCTTTTGAAGCATTTTCCCTGTTTCTCATTCCAGAACACATTGGATGATGGAATTAAGTAGGAGAAAGGAGCCAACAGTCTTTCTAAGTCTAGTTCCTGAATTTCAGCATCCGCCATATTGGCCAGGGACCTGCAACTTAATACAGGTCTCGTAAGTTAATTGGGATCCCAGGCAGTAGAGTTCTCTTTCCGCTTGTGCGATGTAAGGTGCGGAACATTCCTGGGATCATGTACAGGGACCAGTTGCGATAAAAACCAGAAGTATGTAAGTTTCTTTGGAATAAGTAAAAAACTAGAGTCATTTTCTTTAGCAGCTTCGTCAGCTATAATTGGTTACATCCAACCTCAAAAGGTGTTGGTCTTTGGCATGAATATGAAGATGATCTTTGCTGACTTGCACAAGTTTCGCCGGCTTTGAATTTGATGCTGGGGAAACTCTGCTTGCGGAGATTTAGGTCATGCAGCAAGGCAAAATCAAGTGATTCTCTTTCCTTCTTATACAAGCTATACTCCTGTAATTTTTGTATAAAACATAATGAAAAGAATCTTATAGAAACACTCTGCAGGTTTGGATGTTATCCATGCTGTCTGTCATTTCGAAGAATTGTCACTTTAATTCATTTCAGGGGATCATTTACTATATACTGAAACATGTATGGGGAACTATCATGGGAAATGTATACAACACTAATCTTACTACGTTTTGGTTTCAGTAACAAGTTGGAGTATCATGATGTATCAATCATCAGACAATGCAGCTAAGGGCCAACATTCCTCCCGCAAAAAAAAAAAAAAAAAAGGGCCAACACATGATTTTGAAATGATTTCCAACACTCTCGTAGCACATTCGCACAATCCTCGTAAGTTGGTCCATCACGTTTATTCATTGTAACGAAATTAAAAGCGGAGGGAGGTCAAGGAGTATTAAAGCGCTTATTACCGAAGCGTGCAATTGCTTTTATTTTCACGGCAAGATAAGCAAGCTCTTTGGCTTCATGTTTGGGTACTAACACCGCAATGACAATCAGAACTGGAACTTCCTACCATCATTTTTGCTGAGGTGTTACAATGGTATAATTGGCTGTTCTGACCCCAAAAAGACGGGATCATTGGCAACGATTACAGGTGATCTTACCTAAATGGGAATACAGGGCAATATATTCCACCCATCCAACAATTCTGCCAGCTCCCGGCGTAAAGAGCATCCTCAGAATTTAAATACGACTTTTTCCAGAATGCAAATGACCTCAAAAGTGATGTTAATTAGCACCAGGTACACATTATCAAGGAAAGCAGTGATCCAATAAAGGTTCGCATAGATGAAGAAAGCGGGAATTTCTAATGCGATATTCACAGTAGGCTTCAGCTTGGTAAGCACAACCGAATATATGCAGGTTCAGAAGTTACAAAGGCTAAATGTCACAAGCCAGACTTAACAAAAATAGTTGGGGAAAAGCAACGCCATAGCAAAATTTATCCCCAACTTGCCTTCTCTTCATCTCATAACTTGTTTTTAGATCTCAACAGAGCCATTGTTGGGCCGAGGGCACTACCTTTTAAGGCTCTATAGGACCACGAGCTTTTCCCTGAACTGGCCTTATCCCAAGAGTTTCCTTGGGAGAGTTCTTCCTTCTTGGCATTCAAAGCCTCACTCAATTGCTCCCATATGTTTCCTCCATTTTCTATTATATAACGAGTAAGAAATTCAAAACCCAAAATGGTATAGAAAAAATCACATACTCAAGCAGCAGTCAGTTTCAGGAACCAGTAAGGTCTTGTAAGTACCTGAGCCTGAGGCACTTTTTTGTTTCCCACAATTTGCTTCTCCACTCCCTGCATATAGTCAACAAAAGATAAACTTATTACTTACTTTCAAATCCCAAACATCCTGATCTTAGCTAAAAGTATCTAGAAGGAGAAAGGAAAACTATCCAAAATGTGAAAAAACCATTAGCTTCAACCATTTGCTTGCACCAGAATACCAATACCTTTTGTTTCTAACTTTTCTATGTAGCTCCGACAAATATCGTTAACCAATAATTTCTAGAGCAACAAAAATGACCTAAAGTAACCTCCCTGAATTTGCCACATTTCTTCCGCAATTTTGCAGCATTAGGCTTCCATGTTTTACCAAGCGAAGTTGAGAGTTTAAAAAAAATCTTGAACTGACATTGAAACTGTGCATTTTCTACAACTTCTTGATGACACATTTTTTAAACTAGCAGCTGTAATTTTCCCAACACAAATGATTATCAATAATTTTTCTGACATAACCAACCATGCATACCGGGGGCAGGGGCATCTATTTGTGTCTCATTATTGGCAGGTGGATCAGAAACTGTAGCATTCTCAGTAGCTGCAGGACCTCCATTTGCCTCACCAGTTACTGCTTCAGTTGAACCTTCATGGCCATCTTTGACAACACGAACATCAATAAGAGTTGCAAAACCTATCTGCAGGTTTATGCATACAGTTATTAGTATAATAAAAGCAACAGGAGCTTTAAACTGTGGTCCTTCCTGATCCACAAAAAGTTGTCATAATTAACATTTCGCACGGGAGAAAGATAACATAGGCAACTAGTAAAATGACAGGTGGTGAACAGCTTTAAAGTACCTCAAAGATCCATCTTCTTTGTAAAGGGAGTCATCTGGCTGCTTATCAGGTTCTTCATCCGCATTCTTTGTAGTAACTGGATACCCAGGGACTGGCATCAGAATGAGTTTATCAGATTTTGAACTACACCATGAGACATACCCAACCTGCAGCATAAGTTCAAGCCAAAAACCTGTAATCATGGTGGTATATTAAGAATCAAGAGTTTTTCAAAGTGGTGTTAGAATTCCATCATACTCGAAAGGAGAAAATTTCAGGAGTCCAGGTTGACGACAACTCAAGTAAGCGATACGCGATCACATCACCTACCTGAAAAAACAATAAGACACCTTAGAAAGTAACCAGGAGGTAATTAGTGCTCTAAAATTATATGCATATGACATCTCAGGTCGCGAGGTCAAACTTGTTCACAATTTCAGCATGGACTTTTACTTCGTCAACACAATCCCCCACCCATCCCCCTCCCTCCAGGCCCGAAAGACTCCCCCCACCCCAAAACTAAAGGAAAGGAGGAGGAGGAGGGGAAACAATAAAATTTATTTTGAAAAAGAGGATGATTGTGTTTGGATAGGAGATTATTTGGAATAATTTTTTGGAAAAAAACTGTAGCACTTTTTTTGTGATGTCATGTATGTGAGATAAAAAGGGGTTGGAAAACGTGTTTTTGAATGCAACAAAAAAATCTTTGCAAATAACAAGCTTTCCAAATAATCTGTTCAAGATAAAACACAAACAGCATGTCAAAATTCTTAATCACTTTTCTGGCATAAACTTTTACTTGAAAATGCCAGGTACCACAGAAAGTGCCAAAGAAACTACATAACCAGAGAATTTCAACAAATAAAAGTCTCATTCCAAAGCCATAAATATGCACAATATGACACTGAAATATACACCAACCTTTGGCATATAGGAAAGGAGAGGAAGCTTTTCAAAATCAATTGGTCCATTCAAATGTACATCTTTCGGGGCACTTAATGTCACAGGACGGTCTCTGTTGGCATTATTATAATCATTTCTCCTGGAAAATGAATTTTTCTCAGTTCCCCACTTTTGGCCCTTTCTTTTGCTGGTGATTCCATTCCACTGGAAAGATTCCTGAGATGCAAGAAATTTCACTCTAGTATCTCATATATATATATATATATATATATAGACACATACACACATATATATAAAATTTGAATGACAAAGATGATTTTGAGATGTTTCCATCCTTCAAAAGCACAAAATGAATGAAAGCATACAACTCATGTCAGAATAAACAAGAGTTTTGCAGTAACCTATATCAGATGAAAAAGAAAGGACTGACCAAATACTGGGAAAACTTTACTTACGGCCATCAACTCTCATAATCACATGAGAAAAATTTCGGTCTATAGTTTTAACACTTAGCATACACTTTGAGATATCAAAATCACCATGACACAGTTGTACAGTTGTAGCATAAAACCCTCAGCAGAAAAATTGAAGAAAATAGTAACAGAGTTTGTTATAAATAGCAAGAATTAAACCAAAAGGACAAGAAAAAGGCTGTATGACAAATAACATACCTCTGAGACTTGATTTTGTGCCTCAGCTTGATCTGCATTCAAAACCAAATTTACAGATATTAGGACTCTAAATTAATAGCGTCAGTAATCTACACTCTACACTCAACAAGTCACCAATTTATATTACTTCACTCTATCAGAAAGTTGAAAAAGTGTAATATGAGGTTGTAATAAGCTTATATTTAGTAGACATTGAAAATCAAAATGTCATTTCATTGACAGTAGAGAACAACTGCACAACTTAATAGTTCATCTAGTAACAGTACCATCTTCAGGAAATCGATTGCTTTGGGCTGGAAGCTGTGAACAAAAGCTGTTCAATTTCTCTTAACAAAATCGTTCAAAAGGGTGGCCTTTTAGCAAAAAAGAAATGAGCACGTCATTGGAACAAAGGAAGTGGCTGTATTAAGCAAACAGTTTCGTATGCTGGTAGACCATTTACCACTGGTGGGAATTTGCTCGCCAAACTTGTTTACCACTGGTGGGAATTTGACACAATTTTAATAAATCGATTGCTTCAAGTTGGAAGCTGGTGGACAAAAGAAATATTCTCATAACAAAATCATTCAGATAGGGTGGCCTTTTTTGGGGGAAAAAAATGAGCACGTTCTAGGAGCAACGGAAGTGGTTGTACCAAGCAAACGATTTCCACCAGTGGTAAGTGTGTTCTTTGGAAAGAGGATATATTGATAGATGCATGATACAAAGTCAGAACAAAATCAAGGTAAGGACGCATCAATTATCTTGTGCTCTTGATGTCGAAAGATTGGACTTCTATCAGAGAAAAAGCATGCAACTTCAACTTCATAGCTATCTAATGCATGCAACTAAATTGAACAGATAGATTTTATGCAACTAAATGTCAAGCAACTCCAGCAAACACAAGAGTGGGCATGCTGCAAATGCTAAAACAGGCTATTATATTCCTTGTTAACGTCCTCTAGTAAGCCATAGATTTTACAATAAAAAAGCAAACTTAAGAATGGTATTCCCACGTGAAGACATACATTGCAACTTATTTGCATGGTTTCGCCATACAGCCAAAAGAAAGAGAATAAAAGTAACATCAATTCAAAGAAATATAAAAACAGAAGCATGCGTCCAACCATTCTCTAGAGGCTCAAAGCGGATGTGCCAGGCCTAATTACAATCGGAACAACTTCATCATCCAAGCTTTTCTTCTGATTTGATTGCTCAGATGCACTGCCATTTTGAGTTGCCTCTCCATGTTTTCTCTTATCAGTATTTGTATCTTTTCCAGACCACTGCTTCCAGTATAGCTACATATCAGAAATTGCATCAGAAAAAGAATTCATGTTTTGAGCAACAAAGAGGATATGAATCTTTAATCACTCACCAGTCCCTTTGGTTGGCCATCATCTTCTTTTACATCAGGTTTGGCTGGTCTCTGTTTCCAGTTGTTGTACTTCTTCACTTCAGCTCTAACTGGTTTCTTTTTCCAATTTTGCTGCAAAATTCAGCAAGTGGTTCTTTACAACCAATTCTGGAAGTCAGAGAGGCACAATAATGTACATGTCTGACCACTCACAATTTCCTTAGGTTGAGAAATGGTATCTTTCTTCTGAATTTTGGCCATTTCACGTATCCACCGCCTCTTAGCTTTTTTGCGCCTTGCACTTCTGCTAGGGAGCTGCAAAACAAATTTTATGAAATCTAAGGCATATTGAAGACAAAGCAAGCAAAAGCTCTGCAAGCAGCGTAAAGTTTAGAGCAGTATAATGCTGTGTCCTTGCAGCACTTTACTTCAATCATCTCAGATAATAATTCAGATGTCTCACTTCCAGTACAGGTTGTAGATGTTTACTGTCTTTTCTACCTTTTTTTTACTTTCTTTTTTTTTTTTTACCTCTGTTTAAAAGTCCATTTCTACAGATTAAATCATCAGAGAAATCAGTGATAGCCATAATTCATTCAGTCACAATTCTAAAAAGCTGTCCACACAGGCATCCTTCAGTTTGAATTTTGAAGTACAAATACTGGCAGGAGACAATGCATGTAATTCAGGCAGACAACAATACATCAAGTGTTCAAATTTCAGTAACAAGCAATGATTGCAAACCTTCTTTGTTCCCCCAGATACTTTTTCAGTCTCCTCTCCATTTTTTTGAGTCGGGTCACTGCTGCAAAATCAGATTAAATTATTGTCAGCAAGATACCATCTAGATGTTTGAGTACTTCAAGAAATGTAGTATATAATACGGATGTATCACTGAAAGAGTTAGAAAGGAGGACAGAGAACAATATGCCTCTCCCTAGGAGGCCATAACGAGAACGAGACTTCTCCAAGTCTAAGTTGCCTACTAGAAGAAAAGGTTCTATCTTCCTGCTAAAATAGGCTTGTGCAGCGAAGTACTGCCTCAAAATATTGATTATGATAAGAACTCCAAAATTTAACATACACACAGCTCTCAGGAAAGGCTAGATAAATATGACCAAGATGTTTATGAGTGTCCCCCCAAAAAAAAATACAACTCAGTCAATTCAGCTTAGCTCATTTGAGATACCACTGCAAAAACATAAAAAACAATGGTCTTAAAGAAATTGATTAATGAAACTAATATGGAATCAAAACATCAAAAACAATGGTCTTATGTCATATATACCTCTTCATATTTGGTGAAGCCACAATACTTCCATCACCTTGTTCAGCATTATCACTTTCATTTTTCTTCTTGATCTCAGGTACCTTTTCTGTTTGTGAGTACTCTCCTTTGCTGCATGGACACCATCTTGCTGACAATTTTCAATTTGCTCTGCTGGACCAGCATTGTCAACCCTACACTGACGCTCTGCACGTAGTTTCTTCTTTCTGGAATTTATGTAGGATAAGAAAGAAAAGGGTTGGTGACCATTTTAGTTAGAGATTGAAGCGACCATTTCAGTTAGAGATTGAAGCTTGACTCCAAGCATAAGTTATCCAAATACAGCATAAAGAAGCAACAACGTACTTTGACCCCTGCAGTTTTTCCGGAGCTTTCCTTTTCTTCGAAGTTGCATTTTCTTGCGATGGATTATGTAAAGAATTTTCCAACTGCTCTTCCCTGACCTCATCCTCAGCCTCTTCAGTTACATCTCTAGCATCCTCTTTATCATCCCCCTCCGCACTGTTCGGATTCATCTTCAGGCTCAATCACTCTGATAACCTCCAGTTTCCTTCTCGAATTCCTCATTTGCTAAAAGCAGTGCTCCAGTATTTACAGGTTGCTGCTCCACAGCTTCCATTTCCGCAACTAAATTGATTGGATTGGTTCCCGAATAGCCAAGTGAGTCCTTTCTTCATTACACTATTAACAACAGATCAAATACAGAAAACATCTGTCATCCTTTCATCTACTTAAGCTTGTTAACTTATTTATGGGTAACATAAATTCAACCTTGAAATTAATAAGGATTAAGAGTAAGAGTGAATGCTTAGCCCTAACCTGATTACATCTTTATCCTTCAAAATGGTAGTCGATTCAAAACCTGGTAACACGTAGCCACCCATCTACAAGCAAGGAAAACAAATACAGCATCAATCCAGCAACGAATACACAGTAGGCACAATTACAACTAAACAAAGTACCACAAATTCGAGAGAAGGTTATGATCTTTATTATTGCCAAACTTTAAAAATCTATCAACTTAAAAAGAACAATTCATACCCTAAATCCAGTGAAGTTGGGTTCATCAGGTCTCTTACACTCCATAAAAAAAAAATTCAAAAACAGAGTCGGAAACAGAAACCAATTTAACTGCTTTGCTGAATCGTCAGAAAAAGGAGACAAACCCTTTGATCGCGTTGACAATTCCAAACCACTAGGCCACATACACGTTAGCAAAGATTCCATTTTTTTTTTAACAAAGGGATATATTTACACACTAACATTGCAGTTTTTATTGCAAAGATAGGGCAAGAATTAGATACATACGTAGAGGAGAGAGGCCATGAGGGCAAGAGGGTTGAAGTTGAAAAGCGTGAAGAATGTAAGCAGCGAGGTCAGCGATGGTTTTGTGGTGGTGGGGTTTAAGGAGAAGCCAGCACCGTTGAAGCCCCTCTGATTTTTGGGACTGGCTCAAAATGCCCTCTTTATCTGTGAACTCCAATCGGAGCCTTGTGGTTTCCATCGTCCCATGCAACTGCTGATCTCCTTCTAATGTGGGCTGTACAGGCGAATTTTTGTAACGAAAAGAGCTCTCCTCCTCCTCCTCCGTCCTTCACTTCTCCGCTGCTGGCCTTTGTCAGCAGCATACAAAAGCTTAAACCCCTGCTAGAGACTGAAGAAGTGATTTTAGTAGAAACCCTTCGACTCCTGCTTTAACCATGGTAAAACGCGCCAGTTAGTGAAGTACTTTAGTTTTTTTTTTTTAAAAAAAAAAGAGTGAAGTACTATGGTTAAAAGACAAATTTTTCTTTTTCTTTTCCTTTTTAATAAAACATCCTCAGTTTATTAAAATCTCAACTGGGAAAATCGTTTAAAACATCTCTCACATTTTATAAAATGACTTTTTACGTCCCTCACTTTTAAAAGTGTACTTTTATATCCCTTATAAATTCACATTGATTAAATTTGATTCCTATCTAAATTTCTGACTAGTTTTTTATCGTAATCTACCATGTGCCTTGTTTGAAATCATTTTTTAAAGGCAAAATTATCAAATCAAAGTTTACGTAATCCGATCCATAGTTCCTCACATTTCACAAAATGAATTATTTCATCCCTCGCATTTCACAAAATAAATTTTTTCATCCCTCATATTTTATAAAATAAATTTTTTTATCCCTCATTGATCATGTGTACGCATAACTTTTTTTAAAAAATTAATATATATATATCTATTTGATTTCACGCTGAATAATACGAATAACATGTAATATATCTCTATTTGATTTTACTTAAACGTACTGTTCAAGTGAAACTAAAATAGATATATACATGGTTTAAAAAATTTGTTAGTTTTTTACTGATGTTCATTCCTTTTACTCGAAAATTAAAAACAAATAAGATATTTAATTCTAAACATTATCAAGCATTTATATCGAATTAAATTTGGACATAAAAAATAATCAAAGGAAAGGTATGATTGAATAAAGTAAGTGATTGACACTTTTAAATTTTAAAATAATCAAAGATAAGAAATTCAACTATTGGTTTTAAAGTAGCGAGTAAAAATTTTATATTTAAATTACAATTTATTAGCATGACTATAAAATTCGAATTAACATTGATTAATTAGATGGTCTTATCATACAACTTAATAAAATGACTCATTACCAAAATAGAAAATGTTACAAATATTAAATAAATTTACATGGTGAAATCAAATATATATATATGGTTTTAAAATAAAATTATTAGATTTAAACCCATGTATATATCTATTGAATAGCATGTGCACATCTATAATTAGTCTGTTTAAGTGAAATAAAATATAGATATATTACATCATTATATTATATAAGAATGAATTTAGGGCAAAAATTTCAACCGCGAGGGTGGGGTTATTTTGGGAATATGAGAGTATTTGAAATACAATTGAAGTATTGAATATAAATCATTATAGCTAATTTGATTTTTTTTTATAATTACTTAAATGTTCTGTCAGACATTTAAAGTTATGGGTAAGTTTAACATGTGGCAATATTCGATATCCGATTAAACATTGGGTACAATTGAATTCAACTTGTGTTTTAGTAAAATTACATAAAAATCATTTTAATCATTTAATTGGATTAACATTCAAATCTCTTAATTTCTTAAAGTCTTTCTCATCAGTTATTTGCAAACTTATGATATATAGATGTTAAGAAGATACAATTAATACTGATTAGTAGAGAAGTTTGGTTTCTTGGCCGTTACCACAGTAACCCCATCCATTCAAATTCATTTCATTTACTTATAACTTTGTTCCACTACAATCATATAGTCTATTGAATTCAGATATTGCTATATCAGTTACTGCTATTTTTCCATTTTGCAACATCTTTTTCAATAGGTATGTTTTCTTTAACTAATCTACTTTTTTTGTTGTAAAAAATCTATAATCTTGCAAGTTGTATGTGCAATACTTTTTTTAGTGTTTTAATTCAATTGTCCATGTTAGATGGCTTGATAGGGAAGATATCACATTTGTTAATTGTTATTTTTTGTTTAGAATAAGTTTATCATCATAAAATTTTTCATTTATAGATTGCATCTACTTCTTTTGTTGTTTTAACTATTAGTTACGGTAATTTTCAAATTGTTTGTTACTTTATTGATGATTCCATTTAGGCAAATTTTGACTCCATTTGTTTTGTCAATATGTTTAATTATCTACTTAAAATTATTTGGCTGTAAATTCAAAGTATGTACTTCATTACTTTTAATTGTTTTCTTGAATTGAGTGGATTAAGATGTTTTAGTACTTTTTTAAGCTAATTATTCATCTAGATTAGCATGTTAGTTATTGTATATCTTTGCAACTAGATCAAAAACTGGTGTTTTGTGATTGTTACTTCTACTGAAAAGGAGATGCTTTGTTATATGTCTTAAATATCATACAATAAATCATAATTGATTGATTGGTCAATGTGAATGTTTCATGATGATATGCGCTTAGAATTAATATAAATCAAAGAATTTGGCTTGCAAGAACCGAAATTCCACTAGCAATGATTTCTTCAAGTATGCTAATTGTTCAAATCTCACTTTTATGACAAGATAATGAGATGGATTGCCCTCATATCAAAATCAAATTTAAACTAAATAACAAATTTTAATATCCCTAAAATGCATGAGCAGATATAAGTAGATCTTTTATTCTATTAGATTAGACGCAAAGTGGTTAATTGTATTTTATAATTATATTTCAGTGCATGTTATATTTTTTACTCAATATGTAATTTATGATTTTTCTATTTAATATCACATAATAAAATTGTCATACTTCAATTATTATACTACAAAATATTAAATAATAATTATTAACTATCTTTAATTATAGGTACTAAACTCCCGCGTATGGCGCGGGCTTTTTCCCCTAGTACTATTCATATTATTCAGATGAAATTAAATAGATATATACATGAATTTTAAAAAAATTATTTGTATATATGGTCAATGAGAGATGAAAAATTCATTTTGTAAAATGTGAGGGATGAAAAATTTATTTTATGAATATGAGGGACGAAACAATTCATTTATGAAATGTAAGGGATTATAGATGGATTATATAAATTTTGATTTGATAATTTTACCCCTAAAAAATAATCACATGTAAGGCACGTGATGAATTCTGATAAAAAATTAGTCAGAAATCTAGGTAGGGATCAAATTTGATCAATATGAATTTGTAAGAGATGTAAAATTACACTTTTAAAAATGAATGACGTAAAAAGTTATTTTACAAAATATGACGATCGTTTTGAACGATTTTTTCTTATATTAAACATTGATACAATTTTTCTTTTCTGATTTCTCTACTTCGGGCTTCGGCTTTTGCACTTCAAAAATGGGGCCTTGGGTAAAATTTGGCCTGTGGCCAAGTCTGCAGCATCACCATTTAATAGTTGTGCTTCCCTAGAAATTTTGATGGGCTTTGTACGATTTATTATATCTATGAATATAATAATGGGCTTTGATACGCACTGCACGAACAGTCTATAGTCTGTGCAGCATGAGATTTACCACAATTCAATCAAATGGGAGGATTGGCAAACACTACCGATGACATCTTTCTTTAACCATTGACATCAAATTTTGTTTTACATGTTTTTCGTTTTTTCTAGTACAGTAGCTCAAAGAAGGAGACACTTTGCTAAATGGGGAAAAAAAAAAAGGAGAGAGAGAGGAGATGCTTAGCATTTTCGTGGCGTTTCTAGTGACATTTTTATGCCACTTCATATGAGATTTGAGAATTTGGGATTACTTAAAAAGTAGTAGCTACGGAGCATTTAGTAATCAATCAAACCAACTCCAATAATATCAATCCCACCAAACAATTTTGACATTTTCGGCTAAACCATCATATCACCAATAAAAAAGGTCATCCTTAAAAAGTTTCCATAAACTACACATACTTATTAGTATGTTGAATGCCATTTTTAGAAAGCAAAGGTCTCTCAAAGCATTTTGCCCATTTGGAAAGAAAAAAGAGTTAAACTAAAGCCCTATTTGATAATAACTCAATTTAGTACTTAAAATTTAATAAATTCAAATTCTAACATGTTTAGACGTGCTTGTAGTAAAACAAAATAGAGCATATTAACTGACTAAGTGAGTTCGAACTGTGTAAGTAAAACTTATTTCAAAAATATGTACAAATTATTTTCACTTATCACTCAAATGAATGTTTGGATCTCGGTGTTTACTATTCAATAATTTAACGAATCAAAATTTCATATTTCAGTTTCATCAAACATACCCTAAATTAATTTTCGTTAATATTTGCTAAAATTCCCTTATGACGATGGTATCTCTCTCTCTCTCTCGGACTACAATTGCAAGCTTTTAAAGTTACAATGGCTTCCTTTCATCTTTCCTTCCCTAACATGTTAGTGTTATTACCAGTTAAATAATAATTAAAAAAAAAAGAAGAGAGAGGAGCTGAAACTACTAAATAAGAAGTTGGTTAACAAAAAATGCGTGTAATTTTAAGAACTGTACAGCGGAAGCATTTACAAATATAACAAACTTAAAGGGCGATTAGTGCTATTAACCATTAATAAAGAGGATTATTAAAGAAAAAATGTAACAAAAGAAAAGAGAGGCTCAAATGCAGTGCGTTGTGTGTGGGCGATTAAACTTAAAAACCCGATCTGAAGTCACTTCCCCCAGTCTTCTGCACCAGACGTCTACAGTCAGCGCAGTCTAGTCACAGAAGATGATGCGTCAAAGAGGAAACCAGCGATTTTAGCTAATTTTATTTTATTTTCAATAGACGCGAAGAAAGTTAAAAAGGGAAAATATATATATATATATATATAATAATAATAATAAAAGGGCGGCAGCGGCGAAGCTGGCTTACAGTCCGAAGCTAGTAATGGCGGAGCTCCGGCACTCAAGTTCGATGGGAAGCCGAGCGGAGCGGCGTCAGCGTCACCAAGGAAACGGGACGATGTCGCTGTGGCTTCCTCCCCACTGTCTCCCGATAATATTCCCACCTCCTCTTCCTCCGACGACAATCGTAGTCGTCATACTCGAGATCGCGGCGGCCTCCGCTCTTTCTTCTCCGCCGGGCACTTGCACTCTCTCTTCCCCTTCTCCTTCACCGACGACGCTAGGCTCCATA